CCATGTCCACGTAGTTCTTGTTGACAGAGTCCATGATGAGCTTGTCGCACTCGGGCTCCATCCAAGTGGTGACGAAGGAAGCCAGATTCAGCCTCGGATTGCAGTCAAGCATGAGCTCGTCGTTAATGATCTGGAAGGCGGCCTCCTTGGGCATGGAGTTTTCGGGCATGAGATACTTGGGGGCAGAGTCGCGGACATAGCGAGAGGCAAAGGTGGAATGTAGAGAGACATCGGACTGAGAAAAATTTCTGGGTAAGGCCATGGATTGAGAATTAGATTGAGATTGAGAGAGAGAAGATACGGAAGGGTTGAAATTGGTTAATATGGTGAGAAGAGTGAAGAGAAGGGAAGATGAAATTTATAGTGGGAATTGGGGAGAAGGTTAACGGTAGTGAAATGTGGAGAATGGAATCGAATGCCGGTTGGTTTGGTTGTGTGGATTGGAATGTTAAAATTGAAGGAGGTAATTAGAAGAATGTGGGTGTGGGTGTGGGTGTGGGAACTGTACTTTTTTGTCAGTGTGGATGAAACGGAGGGCTCATACCCAAACTACCTTGGAAACAGCATTTTACTTTACACCACATAAATTCAATAACGAATATTTTTGCTTTCAACCCGAAATTGTGATAAGGGTAATGTATTGATTTTTATTTTTGAAAGAGTGAGTGTTCTATGAACTAATAAAAAATAACTCAATGAATAATATATCTTATCTATTAAACTTTTTGTCGCTCAATTCCATGTCTCGAATTTATTATACTAGAAAATACAAAAACTAACAAAATTATACCACAATTATATAATTTAGAGAAGATATAACCGTTGAGACTTGAAAGGGACACTATTTCATTGTTTGATTGCAATAATTTTATATGCGAATAATGAAGTATTAAGTCATTAATAACGGTTAATGGTCTTATTATTTGAAAGCAACCCTCTACAGATTTGTTTGCTGATTCAATCAAAGAAATCGCACCAAATAAGGGCCATTTACTTGGCCTATGAAGCGGCTAAGCCAGCGGTAGAAGAAATCAAAGGAATCTGGTTAGAGGAAATCCTTGAGCCATTGTGCGCTTAAAGGTGGTTCCTACGAGTGCATCTAAGATTTCTACGTCTGTTTCCACAACTTTTATTTTTCCAGTTATGTATTGGAGAAAAGAGAAGGAAAAAAAGTCACTGGTAAGAGTGGGCCCAGCCAAACCCAGGAATCTCGGGTGGAGCTTTTATAAATAGAAAAAAGGGAAAAAAAAGAAATGTGTTTTGTTGTAAGAAAAATGGACAAAAGCCATGGTTGACCAAAATATATATATTATATTATATATTGTGTGAAACAATTCAAGTTTTTGCAGCATGTTGTTTTGTTTAATGTTTTGAAAGGAGAGAGAGAGAATGTCTGGTTTGGAATTGAAAAATCCAATGCCACCGACTCTTTCGAAATGAAGGAATTAATTAGGAGCTTTCCGGGGGAGGTTTGTTTTGGGAAAATCCCACCATTATCATAATTTTCTTTTCTTTTTTGGAGGGTAACATAACACCAAAATCGTAACCAAATCTGAACGTTAGAAATTTTTTGAYAAAATTCCTTTATCTTAACTCTCCATATTCGTTTTTCAAACCTCATGGTAGGCATTGAATTAACAATGTTGGTATATTATATTGATATCATGAGTGGGAAACCAATGAATGGAATTAGTTTAAAGATCCATTATTTTCAATTAAGCGAACCCCATTGAGAATTTTTTGTTGGATTTGTGAGGTGATCGCAAACAAAGTCTCACGTTGACAAAGGAATGGAATGATCATGGATATATAAGAGAGGACAATTATTTCAATTGGTATGAGGCCTTTTGGATGAAACCAAAAGTAAAGCCGCAAGAGTTATGCTAAAAGCAATGGTACTCGAGGTACCACCGAGAAGAAATTACAAAACAACTCTTTAGTTTTTGCATTAAAAAATTTATTCGTGTAATTTCTGCAGCACCCATTACAGTTTGAGAGGGAATATTGTGCAATTTATTCAAATAAATTTACTAATGGTCTGTCAACATTCGACGTGTCCTTATATTAGTGGTAAAAAGGAAAACCTGGTTTGGATTAAAGCCACTTAAAAAATAGCAAAAAAATAACAAATAATTAATTGAAAAATATAGCAATCACTTTTGATTATAAAAAATTAGAGACCTTACCCAAATGAAAAAAGACCTTACCCACTTAAAAAATAGCAAAAAAGGAACCAATAATTAATTGGTAATTTTTTGGAAATAAAAAAACTCTAATATCAAGTTTTTCAGTAGTATCCTTCATCTAAATTAGTTCTAAGTGATGTATTTAGTATGATTGATATACTTGACATACTTGATATTGGGTATATCAACGATATAGGTACGGGTTGTTAGGTCAATAAAATAAATCTGCAATATTATACTTAAGCCACAATTTTCAATGTAACCTGAAGATGAGTATATCATTCATATAATTTGCATGATTAATATACTTCCTATTTTGTATATTAGTGATATACTTAATATTCCACATATCATTTATAAATGATATACCGAATATCAAGTAATTAATATATTTCATATATCAATCAGAAATCTACAAAATTACTAATGTCAAAATCTTGAGCCTGAAGAAGATTTACAACAATATACTTAAAATAAAGTATATCATTTCATTATGTTTTTCTGCCCTAAAACTCGTGGCTTATACTGTGAACAAATTATTTATTCAACAAAATAATGGTTATTTTATTTACATAACTCAAAATTCAATAAACGAACCTCCAAGGTTATTTGATGTAACTTGAACCGTATGTGGTCGACATACGGGTGGATCATGTTCTAGTAATAATCTAGTATATAGATGAGGTTGGGTACCTTATCTTAGTGACACTATGGATACGATCAACTTTGTAATAGTTACAAACGATTCGATCTAAATCATTTATGTAGAGGCATGCCAGTGGGAGCATTCAATACAATTAGTTTGTATAAGACTGGACTACAAAATAATTAATCTCACTTTATAACACCGTTGATTGAAGAGATTAATATTTCATAGGGTGATCATATGTAACTTGATCTTAACCCAAAGCGAGTTATGGACTCTTGCCTATGAGAGATTATCTTTTGATTTGTATGGGTGTGAGTGGCACGATTTGCCGACTCAATAAGCCTGCCATTTTGAAGACGAGATCGAGTGGGGAGTTGGGAACATAGCTACGCAAGATGGAATTCACTCCTTGTCCTATTTAGGGTAAGTAGATGAGTTGTTTCCTTAAGTGCTGATTCCGGGTCGTGAATAATGAGGCCTCATCCCCTCACTGGCTTGAGAGGGATTTAGTTTATAGTTGAATCATAAACAGACTGTTCATTATATGATTAATGGTACTTGAAGAATGAGAAGTAATTATAGGAATAAAACAGTAATTTGACCCAGTTGTAATTACGGACGACCGTGAAGGATTGACTTACTTGTAATGGTTATATTCATAGACACAACACGTTCTACAGTGCAGAAGAGTGCAACTATGAATCTTTAGTGTAATGCCCCATAGTTAATGAATGTTGATTAATTTAATGAGTTTAATTAATTAATCTCGAATCATTGGAGCTTATCTGTAGGTCCATTAGGTCTCCTTGCTAGCTCACAATGGACAAATTAAAACAAGGATCAAGAGTTTTGAAAGAATTTGAAATGTTCAAATTATAGAAGGAAATGTAGGTTAATCGTATAAGATACAATTAATACAATGTGTATATAGATACATTATCATTTTGTGATAAAAATTCAAAATTAAACCATATAATATGAGAGAGATATTTGAATAAGATTCAAATAATAATTAATATCCCATTCATATTAAAATTATAGGTTAAAATTATTTTGAAGGGGATGTTCATTTGAATTTGATTGAAATATATGATATTTAATTAAAATTAATTAATTAGTGAGTATTTAAATAATCACTTACATTTGAAAAAAAAAAGGTTTTTTTGTCCCCTCTCACTCTCAAATCTTTGCAAAAAAAAATTCCCACCCTTTTGGAAAGGTTCCCACGCAACTTGTCCTCACTAGAGAATAGCGAGGAAGGCCATTTGATGGCATTGGATTACTGAGATTTTGAATTACGGTCTTCAAAGATATGTCTTCTCATTCCGTTAATGTTTATCACTTTTCTATATTTTTTTAAAGAAAAATTGAAGCAGTGCGTTCACACGCTTCCATTGTGGGATTTGATCCCTTCAATAATTAGTATTAAATATATTAGTTATATCAATGATTTATTTTATATAGTTGGTATATTAGGATACCCTATCAAGTATATTTCAGTGATATACTTTATTTATATTACTTGATATAATAATAAGAAATTTACCATATTTTTTTTTAGTACATATGTTACTCAAACTAAAATCTATGTATGTATGACATACATCAACCCAAAGACTAAAAGAAGTTAATTTTATGAAGTTAAAAAAAAAAAATTAATTTTATGAAGCCATTTTGGGTTAAAATAATCCAAATGTCATGAGTTCAAATCCTCGTCTCCTTATGTTGTACTAAAATGAAACTCTGATATTTTAATTAATGGATATGATAAACTAGAATTTTCATACCCTTTCTTTTATAAAATTTAGGATAAATAACTTAAATATTTCTTTTATAAAATTGAGGGACAAATATTTCAACTAACAAAACATACCTATTTTATAATATATTATTTAAGGTGGACAGATTTAGAGCTTGAACAAATTGCTTTTCATAAAAAATTCATCGGTTTAATCTACCAAACCGTAGGATTTTAAAAAACTAATTAAACAAAGGATTGAAATATTTTGATTCATTTTTCTTTTCAATCCCAAAAATGAAAATTCAACTATTTTGAATGTCGAATGAATTCGAAAATTTATGGAGTTGAAGCGAATGGTCAAAAAGGGCACAAAAGTCAACAAAAAGGTACGGGCAGCCGAGCAGGGCATCGAAGGCTAGGGCTGGGTCCCATTCCTAATTTCAATTTTGGACGCGGCGAATCTAATTCGCTTAATTATTTTACTTTTTAGGACCAAAAATATACTTTTCTTCATTTTACTTTTAAATTATTTTATTCATATCTTTAGTCTTTACTTGACCACATTCTTACCATGGTTCTTAAAATATGTCCACTATGAAATATTTTATTCCACGTTATTTGTGCTCTCGAATATTTTAGTTCATGTTTAATTCACCTTTTTTAATAAGAGAAATGCCATGTATATTTTCCATGGCTACATATTTAAATAAATATAAGGTAAAATTACAAAAAAACTATTTATGAACTTTATTATTCGTTTCGAAAAAATACTTCTATTCTTTGAAAAATTTCTATACTATCATTGACATTTTAGAACCATTTTAAAAATATTATTTGAACAAACATTCGTTAATATTTTAAACAGAAAATTGATACACTAGAATATAGAACGATGAGAAAATTAATGTGGAAGTTGAAGTGGAATATAGGTTTCAATTTGTCTTAAAAGTCTTCTTTCATTATTATTATTATTTTTTTTTTGTCGTCCAACCAATTTTGCCATAATTTATTTTTTTTCCTAATTTAATCCAAACAAGCCTCCATTTTAATTGTCACGTTGTTTAAATTATGTTATGTCAATTTTTTTGTTCAAAATATTAGTAGATCTTTGCAAATATTTTTTGAATGGTGATAAAGGAAGTTAAACATGTCTTCGGTTTACGATTTCGAAAGTCAACCCTAATGTCATGAGATAATTAGAATTTCTAACTTTTGAAAAATATCAAAGATAGAGGTAAATAGAAACATCACTTTGAGGATGGTACGGTAATTAAAATGTTATTAAAAATTTTAAACATAGTTTTGAGGGAGGAAAATACTTAAAATCCTCAATAGTAAGGGTCTATTTTAAATTATATTTTAATATTTATGTATTTTAATTATTAAATTTGTAGTAACGGCTAAAACAGGTATAGATTTTTAACATGTTAGAATTTAAACATTTTCGTAGTGAGAATGAGAAATATGGAAAATGAGAATTTGGTCGGGTCCTGGCCTCACTTTTCCCTTTGTTCCAAAAAAAACCTTCACCGGAAAGAAATTGTCTTTTTGAAATCAGACATCCGAAACCAAATGCTGCAAAACTAGAAAATTTCAAATGTATGGTCAACGACGACTGGTTGACCGTTTTGCTCTGGCACCCTTCTGGGGAAAAACCCCAAAGGAAACGATATTTATAAAATCCACCCCAGATTCGTGGGCTTTCTGGGCCCGCCAATGCGATTAAATTTTTTAATTTAAGGAGTTCAACTCTAAAAATGTTACAATTTTTACTCAACTCATTTTTACTAATTAACCTAATAATTAAAAAAATTAATGAAAAAAAGACTCATAAATTTAATGAAATCAAACCTGCTTTTGTCTTAATCTATTAATTTCGTACTAAATATATATTTTATAATTCATTTGATACATAAGAATGTTTTTCTCAACAATTTTTCAAACAAAATATAATTTCATACTAAAAAATTATCATATTTTCCAAAGTTTAAGTGAAGATTGAATAATTGTTGAGGGTGAGGATTGTATCATTTATCCGAATGCAATTTTAAATTTTAAATTTATGGTGAAATTAATATACTTAAATCGATGTTTTTTAAAAAATATTTAATTTAGAACCAAAATGTGGGGACTCTCTATTAACCTATTGGTATATGCAAGTTCACGACTTTACAGTTCTTTATTAAAGCTTTAAAATCTCTCTATATCTAACTTTATAATTATATCTGATTGTTTTTTTTTTTAATTTTTAAATAATTATTCGATTTAGGTTTAATTTAACTCCTCAAATAAATTTCTCTTCAATATGGGAGACTGCTAGAAGTCAGAGTTTCCCTTTGATTCTACTATTCTCCTATAATTAAATTTGACCCGAATTGGTATTAATGCTCACCTTCTTCTTTCCTTCCTTCGATTCTGTTCTGACATTTCCCATTGAGGAACCACAACACGATTTTCCACATCTTTTTTGTACTATAAATACCATCCTCTGTTTTCCATTCTCCTCACCAATCAACCCAACTTCAAACACCATCTTCTCAATTCTCAATCTCTCTATTTCTCTCTTTCCATTCCGATTTCGAATTGATTTCCAAAATGGTGCTCTCTAAAACCTTTTCTGAATCGGATGTTTCTATACATTCAACATTTGCCTCTCGCTATGTCCGCGACTCTGCCCCGAGGTTCAGCATGCCCGAAAACTCCATGCCCAAGG